AAAAAAAAAAAAAAAAAAATTGGTAAGGTGAGCAGTAGCAGTAGTGTCAGGATAAGAACATCTCTAAACTCTTACTATCTTGTGTAGTGAAGCTCAGCAGCACAGTGCCTGCCTGGCAAGTGCAAGGTTGTGAGAAAAAAAAAAAAAAAAAAAATGGTTAGGGCTGTAGCTCAGTGCAAAAACCTTGAGCTCAGTCCCCAGTAGTGCAAAAAAAAGGGTAGATGAAAACAGACTGCTCAAGTGTAGATAGTGCTGAATGAAGATGGATACATGTGCATATGTTGTGTTTTTTTCTGCACTTGTATATGTTTGAAAACTAACTTAAAACCGTTTATGTTTTGTGGGTTGTGGTAGTAAATCCCAGCACTGACTAGAGAGGCTAAGCAGGAGAACTGCTGTGAGTTGAGGGCCAGCCTGGGCTACATAGCAGAGACCCTATCTCAACCCTTGCCCCTCCCAAAATGGTTTTGTTTTATAAATTTTGGCTGTTTTTATACATTACTTCCTACCCTTTCAGCAACTCTGTAAGGTCAGTTTCAGGACCCTCATGTTTATACAAGACAAAGACCAGAGTCATGCGCTACAGAGCTCTGCCTAGAGTCACACCACTGATAAGTGGGGAGCCAGGGCTCCAACACATGGTGCTCTAGCTCCATGGCCTGTTTACCTGTGTAATCAGAGAATATAGACACGAGCTCCCAGATCCCTGCCCACCCAAAAGAAGTCCTGCCATGCTGCCCTTGTGGATCTCAGGAATAGGACAGAGCTAAAAGATGACAGAGAACGAGGTCCCCTGTGGACTGCTAGACTCTGGGATAGCTGATCCGTCCTTCTTCTGCAGAGCTGTTCACAGCCATCACTTCTGCCTGAGGTAAGCAGAGTGAGATGGTAGGGGAACTACTGTCTCCATATGCCCAAGCTCAAAGTCACGCAGGTGACTGGCTAAGAACCCAGGCCTTTCAGCTGCTATCTGATCTTCATTCCAAAATGAATCTTCATTCCATGATAATCCACCGTCACGTTCTTACTAACTTGCCTTTCTGTTAGCCAGCACTCAATGCAGTATTCGCTGTTCTTGTGATCACATCTTTTTTTTTTTTTTTTGGTTTTTCTCCGGTACCGGGAACCGAACTCATGACCTTGCGCTTGCCAGGCAGGCGCTTTGCCGCTGAGCTAAATC